AAAAAAAAAAAATTACCCTCGCTGTTCCCTGGAATTCCTCGCCTTTCAGATAAGAAAGTCTTTTCACGAATTCCCTCCCTGTCTCCATGTTTAAGTACAACAGGCAACAGAGCACTTTCTGTTCACCAACACCGAGGGCCACCGCGCCTGGCCTTATGTTTGCGTTTAACAGGAGAATGGAGGGACTGGGGGCCTCGGGGACTACAGCCCCTCCCGTGAACAAGCCCCACACACCCAGCTGGGATTCTTCCTGGGGACCTTTCCGTTGTCACCACGTGGGAGGGACGCAGGGCGCTCCAGGCACACAGCTGCTCAGAGCCCTGGGCCGTGGTCTGATTAAGCGATCCGGGAAGGGGTCGCAGCAACAGAGTCCCAGCTGCCTGCCCCTCTCCACCTTTTGCTCACGGGGTCTGAGGCCCAAGGGTTGCCAGTGGCAAACTCCACTCGGAAGACTGTAAAACGGAAGTGAAATTGCCCGGTCCCGCCACGGCCACTTCTGGCTCCACCACGCCCCTCCCCCTATCAGGGCACCCAGTCTCCTAGACTCACCATTTCCCAGCTTCCGGGAAGTTCCGGGTGTCGTCCCTACAGATCTCCGAGTACCTGCAGCTCACAGGGTGACAGAGGCATCTGAATCACCTCTGATGCAGAGACATTTGGATCATCCGGGAGTGACAAGAGGTGAAGAGAGGACCTCAGATCAGTACCTGGGAACAGACAATCGCTGCTCCGGATCGTGGGGCCGCCGCCTTCTTTCTGGCTGTGCATCTGATTGGACAGTCCAATCATCCCTGATTGGTTAGGGTCTCAGGCCCCACCTCTTAGTCCTTGAGTGACAGCACCGCCTTCCGGTAAGAGGCTAAAAGAGGCCAGAACATTAACAGTTTCTTCACCACAGCACTTTTTGTTTTGTTTTGTTTTTCTTTTTGTTTGTTTGTTTTTTGACTACGGGCAGGCCCATGCCTTTATTCATCTTGATATTCCAGGGCCACGGCTTGCCATAGAGTACCCTGTTTCCCAAATTTCGAGGAAAGGAATGAAAATCTCTTCACTAAGTGTTTAGTCTGTGCTAGGCTTGGGCACCTCCGTTTAAGTGAGAGGTTACACTCTGCTTTGAAGGCGTTATTAATACACATCATTATGTTTAGGTAAAAGCATGGACAGCAGGCAGCGCCCGTAGCTTAGTGGGTAGGGCATCAGCCACAGGCGGGGAGGTTCGAACCCAGCCCCAGCCAGCTTAAATCGATAATGACAAAGGCAACAAAAAAATAGCCAGGCGTTGTGGTGGGCGTCTGTAGTCCCAGCTACTTGGGAGGCTGAGGCAAGAGAATCTCTTAAGCCCAAGAGTTAGAGGTTGCAGTGAGCTGTGATAGCATGGCACCCTACCAAGGGCCCTATAGTGACACTCTGTCTCAGGAAAAAAAAAAACAAAAACAAACCAGGCATGCACAGCAATAACTTAGTCACTTGATAGAATGAAGGACACTGGGAGTTCCAAGCAAAGGCTATAGCAGTTCAGAGAAAGGTGAAATTACCTCTAGTCTCCAGTGAGGGGGCTGGCATCGCAGGAGGCATCATGGGGGAGGTGGTATTTAAGCTCCCAACTCACAGGCACCGCATAGGGGTATATGGCACACCTCCAGGATGCAGGACTGAGGTACAACGTGGGCTTTACCTGTAACAAACTCTGCCTGAAGGATATTTGTAGTTAGCCCTGAATATAAATTATATCCTTTCGGTTGGCGCCTGCAGCGCAGTGAGTAGGGTACCGGCCTCATATACTGAGGGTGGCGAGTTCAAACCCAACCCCGGCCAAACTGCAACAACAAGAAAAAGAAAAATAGCTGGGCAGTGTGGCGGGTGCCTGTAGTCCCAGCTCCTCTGGAGGCTGAGGCAAGACAATCTACTAAGCCCAGGTGTTGGAGGCTGCTGTCCCTGGTGACACCACTGGCACTCTACCCAGGGTGATAAAGTGAAACTCTTTATCTTAAAAAAAAAAAAATTATATCCTTTCATTAATTTTAATTACATATACATACGCATGTGTTTAGATATAAACACACAGTAAATATGCGTTTTGCACTCATGGAAACAACATATTAACAATTGTATTTCTTGGTTGGCGCCTGTGGCTCAGTGAGGAGGGCGCCGAGCCAGCCCCATATACCGGAGGTAGTGGGTTCAAACCTAGCCCCGCCAAAAACTGCACAAAAACAATTATATTTCTTTTTGGTGAAAAGTCATATGCAGGGTAGACATAAAGTTCGTGTGCTATTTAAAGCACTTCTAAAACTTCACCACATAAATTTAATTTAAATTTCTTGCTATTTAAATTTAAAATACTTTACTATTTAAATTCCACATGAACTTTATGTCCACCCTGTATTTAGAATTAGCCAGCTGGTCTTGGTTTAGATGATCCCAATTTGGTGGGCAGCATCCAAAGCATCATAATCAGGAGCCGGTGGGACATATGCCTTCTTCTCTCCATCAGGTCTGGTCAGGATGTTGACGTTGGCCACAGCAATGTCACACAGCTTCTTCACAGCCTGTTTGATCTTGTTGCTTGGTGCTTGTCGGTTTTGACATCCACAACGAACACAAGTGTGATGTTTCCTTCTCTCTTCTTCAAGTCGGACTCAGCGGGGGGAGAACTGTGAAGGAGCTAAGAAAATTTCACCCCCAATTATGATTCCTTGATATAAAGATTATTTTGAATTAAAAGCTATTCATAATCAGGAAACTCTGAACAAAGACTTTCCTCTATCTACCTAAAATCTTAAAGGGCTGCCAGACTCCTTATCACTTGCTAATAGACCTGGCCCTAAGGTCATGTGAAGCACAAAACCTATCTCTCAGGTTAATTTACTAATCAATGTTTCCCTCCATCTACCCACCCTGGTTTAGCAACCACTTGCTACATGGATACTTGCCAGTTTCTCTCCCCCCCCCCCTTTATTTATTTATTTTTTGAGACAAAGTCTCAAACTCTCACCCTGGGTAGAGTGCTTTGACATCACAGCTCACAGCAACCTCCAACTCTTGGGCTTAAGTGATTCTCTTGCCTCAGCCTCCCAAGTAGATGGGACTATAGGTGCTCACCACAGTGACTGGCAATTTTTTTGTTAGAGTTGTCATTGCTGTTTAGCAGGCCCTGGCAAGGTTCCAACCTTCCACCTTAGGTACATGTGGCTAGTGCCCTTGCCTACTGAGCTATAGGCACCACCCTATTTTTATTTTATTTTATTTTATTTTTATTATTTTTTTGAGACAGTCTCAAGCTGTCACCTGGGTAGGGTTCTGGGAAGTTACAGCTCACAGCAATCTGAAACTCTTGGGCTAAAACATTCTCTTTCCTCAGCCTCCCAAGTAGCTGGGACTATAAGCGACCACCACAATGCCCAGATATTTTTTGGTTGTATTTGTCATTGTTGTTTGGGAGGCCCAAGATGGATTCGAACCCGCATGCTCCAGTGTACGTGACTGGCACCCCAGCCCTTGAGCCACAGGCACCGAGCCCCTCCCCCCTTCTAAAAGGCATCTTTGAAAGCCACAGACTATGGGGTGGTGCCTGTGGCTCAGTGAGTAGGGCACTGGCCCCATATACCAAGGGTGGCAGGTTCAAACCCAGCCCCAGCCAAATAGCAACCAAAAAATAAAATCATACATGATTTAAAAACAAAAAAAGCCACAGACTATCACTGAAACTTTGGGAAATCATTCTTATGGTTCCCCCCATGCCCAGTATTTGGAAATAAACCTTTCTCTTATTAATCTACCATACCTGTGAGTTGATCTTTTCAGCGAACCAACCAAGGGGAAAAGGGCAAATTTACCTAAGACCCCCCTTCATTTTGGTGCTATGAGCAGGATCCCCAAAACCAGTCTGTACTCAATGGTGCGGCAGGAGGATTGGAACCCCGACACTAGTCGGGCACATGGTGAGATATTTTATTTACAGTCAGGCTCCCAGCCTTCATCTTCGTGGGCTCTGGTTGAGCAGACGGTAGAAGATTTGTTTTTTCCATATTTAAGATTAATAAGAGAAATGTTTTTGTTGGATCCTAGTCTTGTAACTGACTCTAGTATTGGTTTATTTTTAGGTACTTTGTGGTGTATGAATATTCATTGTTTGATTCCATCTCCTCTCAGAAATAACTTGTATTCTTATTGTTTTTGTGGCTTGCTTTTTTGTTTGGTTGCTTGTCCTTTGGTGTTGTTTTGTCTTAAGAGGGTTACCAAAGGGCTGAGCCTGCATATCAGCAGTTAGACAGTTCCTGATGGTCCGATGTCTTTTAAGATGAACTTTGTTGCGTGTCCCTGAAGCAAAAGTCATATGAGGTTTCCCTCTTGTCCTGCTCTATGTCTCTGAGCTTGACTTTGTGACTGAGTGGGAATTCTCTCCTCAGTCTCTACCATCGGGAGGGTGTGCTTTGTCGGAAATGTCAGGTGGCCAGTCTGAAAAGACCAGGAGTCCAAGACAGCAAGATTCTAGGCAGCACACTTGGTGTACCGAACGTGTCAAGCTCTGAGGCATGATATTTTGTCATCATCTATTCTAACATAATTCTATTTCTGCAAGTGAAATTTTGGGAATATTGGAAATGGCCTCCTCTATAAAGAGGCATTGGACCTTATAAAAATGCAATGAATTGAGTCACTTTTAGAACAAATATACTGCTGTAATTAAGTAGCCAAAAGATAGATTTTTTGGCTCCATA